TAATGTCTGATATACGACTGTAGTAACAAATCTTCATGTTATATCAACAAAACCTATGTCAATGTCAATTCCTCTCCCCAAATTAGAGAACTCTCATATTATTTTGTGTTCTAGCAATAACATGCATATGTATTATAATTACTAACTTTGAATTTTCTGTTAGTTATATTTTTATTTACTTGCATTCCTTTTTGAATAGCCTCTACGCTCACCCTATGTTTTCTCTTGTCTTATTATTTGCGAAGTACAATGTGTCCAGCATAGGCGAATTAATTGGATCATTTTCTTGGGAGCTTTTGAGTGGACACTCCATTGTCATGTATAATCTCTATTGCTTATAAAGACTTCTAATTATATACCAAAATTATTACACGTCACACATATTTTGTTAACAACTTTAGTTTAATATATATTCTAGAATGTTTAGTTAGCTAGCAATAGGTTAGTGCACTAACGAAGTCTTGGCCTTGTGGTGATTCAAGGCTTGCCCCCTTTTGTGAGCCCTAGAGACCATTATGGTCACCTTGTGCCTGTAGTGTATGCCCATTTATTTGTGTCATGTGCATCACAGTTTTCCCACATGAAGTGGGCACCGTTAGGATGTTCCCTTTTTTTGGGTGTAATACCCCCCACCTTCTATGAGCCATAGAGACTATTAGGTCATTTTAGGCATATAGTATAGGCCCCATATCTGTACCATATGTATCGCTGCTTTCCCACACGAAGTGGGCACTGTTAGGATGTTTTTTTTTTCTATTTTGTATGTGCCCCCATTCGTTAGGATCTTATAGAAACTCAATTTATAACTAGGATTACTTTCTTTTATTTTAGAACCCTAAACCCGTTGCACATGTACGTATGTCCAAAGGGATAGAAATGAACTTTCTTTCATCCCCTATAACTCTAGTGACACATAAGGACGAAAATTAAGGATATAGCCTTAGATAATATGGACTTAGGATGCATGCTCCCTATAAGATATAAACATTAAACATAAAAATTTTAGTGACATGTTACCCTAGGTTTAGTGGGCCATAACTTACTAATAATCAACCAACAAAATCAATCATAATTAAAGTCCAAATGCACTAAATCACTTAACTTTTAATTAAACCATAATCAATGCATAATCACTAAAATGCAAACTTGAACATAAACTTAAACTAAATCTAACCAACCCATTAATCATCCTCCAACACACCTAAAATTTAAAATATGTAAACTAAATTAGGAGAAAAAACCTAAACTAAATCTTGGTAAAATAAAAAGACTTTTTCAAACACAAACCTTAATTTATTAAACTCTCTCAATACCAATTGCATTTCTAATTTAAAAGACCTCTAATATTGAATATAAGTGAATTAAAATCTAATTAAATGAATAATATAAGAGAACTTTTAAGATGCTTAACCATAACCGAAAACTTAATAACTCAACTAAGACTTAATCAAACCTTAAGCTAATATTCTAAAATCGCTCAATAAACTCCTTAATACACAACAACCGCTTCAAAGATAAAGTTTATTGGATGGACTACTCCGAGCTGCGAGGCTGAGAGTCTTAAGGAGGTCTGGTTCCTTGAGCCTGGAGGAACAACACCATGAATGATATTTATGGAGTGTTAAAACTTTAAAATTAATTGATCATTAATGATTTAAACGAAATAAAACTCTTAATATAACTATATCAACTTAATTTTTAGGATGGACAACTACGGACTACGGGGCTATGTGTCCTAAGAATGCTTGATTCCTCGAGCCTGGTAGCACAACACCATGAAAAAGTTAATAGAAAACTTAACTAATTTAACCCTTTAATTAATAATAAGTTATTTAATTCATTTTTTTTTATTTCTAACCAAATAAACTCAATAAAATTGACTACTATTGGGTAACCCAGACCTATGAGATTATTAAGTTAGCCATAAGGAGGGTGAAATAAATCTCACGGCCTCAGTGATCAACAAATGTAGTAATCATCAAACATTTAAAATATACTCTAAAATTAACATTAAGATATTAATATTTAAACTTTAATTAAAGTTTCCTTTTTGACCTTCAACAAATCAGAACATAAAAGTAACTTCAACTAAATTATCCTGTACAGGACATATCCAAACCACACGGTATTTTACACACACTAGAGCTTGTTTACTAGGATCACCGATTATAGTCTTAGGTTAAGTCGTTAGTATATTTTGGTGTGATATTGGTACCTTGCATGGAGGGTATCCTTGGTATGTTTATTTACTTTTTATAACCTGGATATCATGCATACAAAATTACTTCCTCTTTTTTATATGCGTTAATTTATTAATTAATGTGCACATACATTACATTCATGCATACATATTTATTTGATTTACTTTCTGTTGCAAAAAAGAAAGAAAAGCAAAGTAGAATGTATCTAGGATGCTTGTAAAAAAGAAGACTTCAAGTAGAATGTACCTAGGTGCAAATGTATGTGCAAAGGGTCAAATATAAATGTAAGGTGTTAAGAGTTATAAAGGGGGTTGAAAATATTTGCTTATATATATACACATAGGGATCCAAAAGATAATACCCTATCTCGATGGTGTTGGATTTTGGAGTCCTATAGAAGATGCGGAGCTAAAAGATAATACACAAATATATTCAAATCCATGTTTCATAAGAGTAGAAAACTAGGTTTGTTGTGGTGGATCCTAGCCACCTTATTTTATTGTAGACCCTAAGTTGTATTTGTGTTTCAAATGATGAATAAAAAAGGATTTTATTTATGCATTTGCTTCATGCATCATTACACATGGCATTAGAGAAATTCATTTACATATTTTATGTATCACTGATTTAAACCTCAGAACTAAAAAAATCTTTGATTCCTTAGGATAGAGCTTTCTTATCCTGCATACATATAGGGTGATTGAATTTATTTAGGATGTTAGCTAGCAGCTCACTCCAGGCAAGCATGCCCAGATTGTCCACCCCTTAGTGTGTCTCTTTTCACTTCTAATGGATTTTGAATATGTCATTTCTCCTAAGATAGCAAATTTCATTTTTTTTATCTTTTAAACTCAAAATTTTAATCACATCTTTATATATTTAAAAAGTTTTAATCATTATTAAGGATAAAGAGAAGAGTTTATCTTCTATAGAATAGAACTTAGGAACTTTCTCTATGCACCAAATTAAGAAGAGAGTAATATAACATTCTTAATTGAGAGTTTTTCTAGGTTGATGCCTAGAATATAATTAACCGCGGGGGCTTACGCTCGTTGGAAATCGACCTCCACATCAAATAAACCTCATTCGAGCTGATGTATTAAATGAGGGAAATCTAATGATATTTTGGGTTATACATATTATTATCCATGGAGATGTGTAGGCTAAAGCCGTTATCCTTAATGGCTAATCATATGTATGACTCCATCTACTCTTCCATTGGCCTGCTTTCATAAAGTGCAAAGGCCTATGACCGCTTTGTCCTACGGGATAGAGCGGTCATACTCTTTACATTCTATTCCCCACAAGCAGAATCCTTTTGGAGACCCACAACCACTTTGGATGGCTTTTCAGAACTTGATATATAGGGAAAGTCTCTAAAGGTGAGTCTTCAAGATTAGATTACAAGTCATTGAGAATAGATGGTGAGTCCTCTTGGCTGAAGTTGTTGCTGGCTTGGGATGAGTTTGATACAAAGAGTTATTATGGATTCTATATGTGGATGCTTCTTGTTACTTGATCCAAAATACCCATAGGAGGTTGGTATTTTTGATTGTAAACCATTGCTATGGGATATAGAATTATCTTAATAAAATTGCTTTTTGGATCAAAAACCTATTGGGAAAGAACTTTGGAGGAGCCCAATGAGGAAAATTGCACATTTGGTTTGATCTTCTATGGTGAATCTTTTTATTTTGATCTCCATATGGGTGAGTAGCTACTTGCCCACAAGCTGGTGTTAGTGAATCCGTTGGAGGGCAAAGCTTCCTTAGGGGGAGTGCTGATTTAATTGCGTGCTCTCCAAATTAGAGTCCCATGAATTGGAATCTGATGAGATACGTATGAGTTTCATGCATTGGCATGTATGTGTACACAAGGATATCCTAACATAATTTATGTCATGTTGGTTTAAGAGTCTTTAGATTTAATTATGATTAATTTTTATATATAATATCATGAATGACACTAATCTCACAAGAAATCCAGAGACAAAGTTCATCATGAAGTTATTTTTTCACCAAAAATTTAGCTCAATCCCACCAAAGATATTTAAATTTATCTAAAAGTTTAATTTTGGAATATAATACTGCATTTATTTTGAAATTTTAGAAGATTGATTCTATTTATACTATATAGTGCATAATTTTCCCCAATTGTAAAATTTTTGTTTAATTAAATAAAATTGTTATGCTCCTCTTTATTTAATGATTAATTCTAATGATGCATGGATGTTATTAATGACTTCATAAGCTAAATTATTTTTAGGATGTAGTTTCACTAAATTGAGAAGATTTTTTACTTATGTATTATATATAATGGGCTAATATAAAATAAGTATACTAGTTATGAAGAAATAAAACTGTAAAAAAAAATAGGGCTTAAAACTAGATGTATTCCCTTTTTTTTCAAAATCCTCTTTAAGCATAGAAATTTTATATAAAAATCTAGAATATAATGGCTCTTCATGCATACTATATTTTCCTTTATCATTCCATCTATGGGATAAGAAGTTAGAGTTCTTTAGAAGAGCATCATTCTCATATTTGATTGATGAAGAAGCAAAATTTAAAGGAACATAGTTATAGGTTTACAAGGCCTTTTTATGATAGGGGTGTTAAAAGGGGTCAATTGGTGTGTCCAACCTAAATTGATCTCGGTCTAAACGGGTTGACTCTAACCCGACTCAATTTTGCAAATGTGTCAGGAATTACAACCAGAAAAGGATCAGTAAGGATTACCAGGATGACCCGGCCCTACTTCAGAAGTCACAACTGCATATTCCATGCACTGAGTTTAGACACGAATGCAAGTGGCTGAGTAGGAATGCACAAGCGAGGTGAGAGGGAATGGGAAGTAGGGCTAAGGAACGATAGCATTATGCAGGATGAGGGATCTAGCATCTAGCATGACCACATTGGCACGAGTGACTGAGTGGGAATTCCCAAACGAGGAAAGCTTGGGCTATAGGTGAAGAAAATATGAGTTACAACCAAAGGATTGCAGGGTTGAGTCGTGACTCACGAGCGCAGGCACAGGGGTGGAGCAACTAACACAGGGGGGGAGTATGCCGAAGTGGGTTAGCCAGTGTGAGTCGAGGATGCTGGCTGTGAGGTTGATCTAGGTCAAATCAAACCCGACCTGATTTATAAACAGGTCAAAAACTCAAAATTGACCCATATGTCACATGGGTTGACCTGAACCCAACATTTTTTTTTGTACGAGTCAGGCTTTGGGTCATGTCAAATATTGACAGCCTTAGTAGTGCATGTGTTTGTGTGTGTGTGTGTGCCAATAAAAGGAGCATTTTAACTTGTGTCAACTACTATTTGTTCTCAAAGATCAAGCTAATTTAAGAGCCTAGAACAATTCATGTGAGCTTCTTAATTACAATCAACCTTATTAGAGCAATAAATTCATTATGAGAAAGGAAAAAATTAAACATGAGTGGTACTCGCCAACAAAAAAAGCCAAGACATGGTCCCTCTCTTAAACCATCCCAATCTTTCTTATAATGCATCAAGAATTAAAATTATAAGTTCATAGGTCACATTAACACACATATTTGTTAACTTGTATTCCACAAACACATTCCATAATAAATTAACCATTGTACTTGATGGAAATACAATTATGATTAATTTGAATTTAAGATGAATAACTAGGAGAGCTCAACAAATATTACAATCAAATGCATGCATCATTCATTTTATGCTTATGCTCTCCAACAAATTAAGGTTGTATGAACAGCCTAATATCAAATTTCAATATTCTACCTAAGCAAATACTTGATTACACATGGAATGTGATTGTTAATCAAGTATTCATCACATTCTATGTTCTTGGGATCAAAATCAAACAAATTCATCTCGTCATTATTCACCATTGCCTTTTCAAACCTTCTAAGTTAGAATCATCAAAGTTACAATCAATCACAATATTGAATAAGAATATTATCGATATCTCAAATATAAAGAATAGAATTATACATTATTCAATAGTCATAAACTTGAGCTTACCTTTCTTTAAAGAATGTATATGGTGCATAGATATCAGCAAGGTGGATCACATGCTTATATTTCTTCCAATATGTTTTGAATTGTTGAGTAAACAATCCAAAAAGAGAAAGATTCATCAAGCACAAGCCCTAAACAGAAAGCCACAACACCAAAGAATATTGTGTTAACCACACTCCCCTTAATAATAATCTCAGGTTAAAATCAATATAATAATAATAATAATAATAATAATAATAATATTGTATTATGTTTTAGGTGTGTAAATTTGCCTTTATTATGTATATGAAATCAATATTTTATGTAAGACAGTATTATATCATTATCAATATATATATTCTTGTAAATATCTAGCATCATTGCAAATAAAGGTATTTGACCAAATTTGAAACTACTTCTGGATCTCCTAAAATGCATGAAATATCTTCATTTGCATAACCAAGTATTACACTGTCAATTGTCCTACAACATTAAGTGAATGTTGACTTAGATCCAACCTGGCAAAGATTCTATGTAGTCACTTGTTATAATTGTTGGGCGCATAATAACTAGTGGCACGTCTCCTCTTAAATGACCTAGAAGTATTTCTCCCATGGCCTTTGTAAATACATAGGTATTTGGCTAGCCATTCATTCTAGCCTGCAAGAGCAAATAAAAAAACTTACTAGCTTAAGATAGCATATCCATGTAAGAAAATAACAAACAACTAATTTGAATAGCTTATAATAACATGGAAAAACATAATAAAAAAATATATCAAAGATTTTGTATAGTTTATTATTTTAAGGATAAAATTTCATTCAATATTATTATTCAAAGAATAATATTATCTAACCAGCGGTTTGGCCAGTGGAAACTTTGATATCAGAAGCTTATTTTAATCGCCTGAATTTTAATATAGTCGCCGATAAATATCGATAGTTTATCGGCGATAAATCAGCGATCAACTGGTGGCTAGGCTGCCAGTAAAACTGGCATTTGAGATGGCCGGTACGCTGCTGGTAATTAACCGATTGTTGCCGACACTATGAACGCTAGAAATTATTAGCTGTTTTTGTTGCCGAAAAGCCGTCGGAAAATTTAGCCGCTGGAAATTGACCGCCATAACTTGTTTCTTATGTGGTTTATACCGGTGGTTACTTATTTCATCAAAAAATTGCCAGTAATTTTTTAGAAATGCCAAAAATTTATCATAACTGTCGGAAAATGTCGCCTGTAATTGGCAATTTTCTCTGTAGTGTTCGAAATCATACTCACCTTGAATCCCAGCGCGGTCGTCTCAGGCAGGGCTGGTGGGCAATGTGGGAGGCGAGAGGGCAGCCGGTCTGGCAGTAGGGAGCTTGGTTTTCTTAATCTATATATATATATATATATATATATATCAATTTTTAGTGGCATTACTCTGCTGGAAAGCCATCGAAAAAAATTACTGTTAGAAATTAGCCACCAGTTGTCGTTTCCTATGTGGCTTTTACTGGTGAAAAAATATTAATCGGAAATCTTATTTTCCATCATAAATTTGCAAATTTTCACCGAAAAAAAACCGCCGATAATGATCGATTTTCCTGTAGTGAAATTTAATATTAGGAATGCTTGTGAGATTTTAACCTCTAATTTGTTATTATAACATTTTTGAATAATTTCAAATTTTTCATCATATAATTCAAAATCAACATTTTTTTATTATTAAACTAAAAAGCATTGGTGGAAAGCCTCCTTTAATGATTAAAAAGGAACAAAAGTGGAAAAAAACAAATTAAAACCAACGATTGCTAATTAACTTGCAGTTCTTCACCAAGTTATATTCAGAAGAAATTATACACATAATATAAAATTTCCCCTAAAATTACAAAATTACCATATCTAAGTAACATATTAATAAATTTCCATAAAGAATGAACGTGGATAACAAGTCACATGTAGAGCTAAATTTTATGTTTGAATTTTGAATTTTTTTTAACTAAACACTGTAATCAACACACACTCTCTCTCTCTCTCTCTCTCTCTCTCTCTCTAAATATTTTATAACAATAATAGGGTTGGCTTGAAAATGTGAAAATTTGATTTAAAATTGACCAAATATCATAAACCCAAGCCTTGCTAGTGTAAAATAATTTTTTTTTATTCTGATCTTGATCAACCCATTTGAACTAGAGTCAAAGTAGTGTCTAACGGCTCAATTTGATCAATATTGATAAATATTAAAAAGATAGTTATACCTTATTTTGCATGCGCTTTGCAGCCAACTTGGCATCCCCATCTCTCACAAGAAGGAAGAGTTTATTCACATTAGGTTGTACTCTAATAACTTTCTCCACAAAGACTTCAAACCAAGCAACAAACAACAACATGAGATAGAACTATATCTTTCAACTTTTGAAAGTGAGACTAAGGCTTCGTTTGGGATAGCTTTTTCACTGCTTCTTAAAATTAAAATTTTTGTACTAGAAAGCTGCTTTAAGAAGCAGTAAAAAAGCCACCCCAAACGAAGCCTATGTCTTTGTTTGGGTCGACTTCCTTACTACTTCTTAAAGCAGCTTTCTAGTATGAAATTTTAATTTTTTGAACTAGAAAGATGCTTTAAGAAGAAATTAGAAAGAAATCCCAAATGAAGCTTTTGACGAAGACCTCTTTACTAAATAAAGGGAATGTAATCATCAAGAAAAGAGATCTTCGTCAAAATCCATCAAGGTACTGTGACATTGTTTTTCAGCTTGTTAAGAAGGCGTAATGTTCTGGGGCTATTTGTTCTTGCAATTGCATGAACATAAATTTCAAGCATTTTCTTCCAACGGCTCTTCATAATCAGTTGGACTAAAATAGAGAAGGACATATTTGGTGAACTCATCCCATGTAAGGGTCCACAAAATTTTGTCAACCAAAAGTGCCATTGTAGGGTGATTCCGTCAAGATGGAAGATGCTAGTTGAACTTTTGATCTTTGGCAATATTTTTAAATTCAAAATATTGTTCTTCTTTATGAGGCCATCCAGTTGGATCCTTACCATTGAACACTGGAAAGGGCAATTTGAGGTGTTGGTGATGGTGGTCATTGTTGGTGCTAGAATGAGCAACCTAGGGTGAAGGTGAGGATTCACTTGGCACAAATTTGTTAATTTTAGGGTTGCTAGTGTGTGAACTTAAGGAAGTCCACATGGCTTGGAGTTCAGTTAAAATTATTAGAAGGGCTGAATTCAGTGTTCAAAGTTGAGCTCAAATAACACTAAGATTTTGTTTGTGATAGCTTTCTTACTGCTTCTTAAAGCAGCTCTTTAGTATAAAAAATTTAAGTTTTAAACTGTAAAGCTATTTAATAAGAAATAAAAAAGTTGACCCAAACAAAGCCTAAGATGTCCATGACCTCACTACGGAATTTAGCATTTTTTTTCTCACGAGTTTCCTTAGTTGAAAAGATCTGATTCCAATGACATGATTAATTTTTATAGAGGAAGAAGAGGAGAATGGGAAAGAAGATTGGGGTATAAATTTTATCAATTATTTAGTTTTTAACTCTTCATCCTATTTCATTCCTTATTTCCCTTACAAAGAATAGTCCTACATAAATTAAAACAAGCAACTAACATTGCTTAAATGGAGGTAAACCAACTTCCTCCACTAACCCAACTAGCAGCCTTCATTAGCTTTTTTAAAATAGGTGTAGAATCCTATTGGTCATCAAAGAATTAAAAAAGTTGTATGAGATGCACTTCTAATGATTACATAGCACCTTACATTTCACCTTGAAAGAATGGTCACAGTTAGAAATAATATGACAAATAATTTCAGTTTCTAGTATACATTGTTACGATGCCTGTTAAACATAATGATTTTTTTTAAAGGAGCAAATGTTTAATTTAAATTAGAAATAGATGTAGAGTATTAAAAAAAGAAAAAAGAAACAAATCAGTCAAATAGAATGACACATTCCATTTGAATACCCCAAAGTTTTATAATATCAAATAGACTTCTTCTATTAAAAGATCACTTCTAAAGATTATTAAATAATTAAAGCATACAGATATAAAAGCCATTTAAAGTAAAAAAATGATATTTCTTATTTTTTATTAAGAATTGTTATAGCTTGGAAGATTCGTGGTGGTAGAGTGAGTAAACTTTTTATCTTAGCGATGCACAGATATCCAGCACACAAACAGAAAGAGAAAAGCAAAACAATAGAACTCTTTTACGCGGAAAGCCTAAAGAGGGAAAAACCATGGGGCCTCACCTAGGTGAAAAGATTCAACTAAACTAGAATGAATTACAAGGGTTGACCCATCCCTTGATTTAGAGTTGGTCAGATTACAGTAATTTGAAGAGCTAGTTAAAGGTATGATGATGGTCGGACAGAAATCCAATGGCTTTTATGCGGAAGTTTGACTAACAAGGAATGATTCGACGAAGGTCTGGCAGTGAACGGCGGCCAGAAAGTGGTTCGACAAAGGTCGGGTTGAAGTCCGGTGGTGGTCGGTGGCCAGGAGGTGGTCCGACAATGGTCGGCAGCCTGGCGGTGGTCGAACGAAGGTTGGGCTGAAGTATGGCAGCGGTGGAAGGCCGGGCGATGGTCTGGCGATGATCATCGATCAGGCGGTGGTCCGACAAAGGTCGGGCTGAAGTCCGGTAGCCGTCGGCGGCCGGGTCGAAGTCCAATGGCGCTCGAAAGCCGGGCGGTGGTCAGACGAAGGTCGGGTTGAAGTACGGCTGCAGTCGGCAGCCGGGCTAAATTTTGATGGCAGTCGATAGCTGGGCGGTGGTCTGATGAAGGTCGACCTGAAGTCTGGCCGTGGTCGGCGGTCGGGCTGAAGTCCAGCGGCGGTCGGTAGCTGGGCTCTGGTCCGACGAAGGTCAGGCTAAAGTCCGATGGCGATCGATGGTCGGTGTCGGGCGGTGGTTCGGCGGCAGTCGGTGGTCGGGGGGTGGTCCGATGAAGGTCGGGCTGAAGTCTGGAGGCAGTTGACTGCCAAACCGTGATCCGACGAAGGTCGATATGAAGTCCGGCTGAGGTCGGCGGCCGGGCGGTGGTCCAGAGATGATCGGTGACCGTGCGGTGGTATGCCAAAGGTCGGGTTAAATTCAGGTGGCAGACGACGGCCTGGTTGAAGTCCGGCTGTGGTTGGAAGTCAGGCGGTGGTTCCATGAAGGTCGGGCTGAAGTCCGGTGGAGGTCGTGACAGGGCGGTGGTCCAAGGGGGGTCGTGGCCGGGCAATGGTTCGACGAAGGTCGGGCTGAAGTCCGATGGCGGTCGATGGTCGGGCTGAAGTCCAGCGGCAGTCGACAATCTGGCGGGGGTCCGACGAAGGTCGAACTGAAGTATGGAGGCGATCGTCGGACGGCAGCCGGGTGGTGGTCCGGTGAAGGTCGACAGTAGGGCGGTGGTCAGACAAAGGTCGGGTTGATGTCCTGCAGCGTTCGGCGACCGTGGTGAAGTCCAGTGATAGTCGGCAGCCGGGCAGTGATCCGATGGAGGCCAGGTTGAAGTCCATCTCCAGTGGGTTGTCAGGCGATGGTCTGGTAGTGGTTAGCGGCCGGGCGGTGGTCTGGCTGTTGTCGGCAGTCGGGTGGTGGTCCATTGGCGGTCCAACAGCGATCGGCGGTCGGGCGGTGATCCGGCAGCATTCAGAAGGTTCGAGGTGGTCTAGCGGCGTTCGGCGGCCTAGCGGTTGTTCCGCGGTGGTCGAAGGCCAGGCGGTCGGCAGCCGAGTGATGATCCGACGAAGGTTGGGCTGAAGTCCGCTGACGGTCGGCGGCCTGGATAAAGTTCGACGGAGGTCGGCAGCCGGGCGGTGATCTGACGAAGGTCGGGCCGGCCGGGCGGAAGTCCAATGACGGTTGGCAGCCGGGCGGTGGTCCGACGAAGGTCGGGCTGAAGTCCAGCGGTGGTCCGGTGACGGTCGGCGACCCGTCAGTGGTCCAACGAATGTCTGGCTGAAGTCTGGCGGCGGTGATCCCAAATTTAATTTTGAAATTGGAATGCAGATGATCCCAAATTTAATTTTGAAAGTTTCCAACTTGAAAATGCCTCGAGATTTGTGCTCAATCAAAACAATTTTTTGAGGATGTATCAAGAATATATATATAATGTAATGGATTTAATTTTTGTGTTGTTATCCTTTATATTTATCTATTTATTTTTTGATTTGATATATATTATATTATAGTGTGATGTAATTTTTTTTCTTAAAATGGGAAATTTTCTTTTGGATTGTTGGATTCAAATTTGTCTAAGGATGATACCCAACCCTACTAATAGCTGTTTAGTAGAAGATAGTTAGAGAACTAACTAAGAATGTATTTTGTATAGAGAGTGAGTGGAAACCTCTAATATCTTTGTGAATAATCCCTAGATTTTGATGTCTAAACTATGCATCTCACCTCTTTTTCATAGAGTTCATAGGGCTACATGAAAGACTGCGCATAAAATAAGTAGAAAAAATAGTGCATGATGTGATCAGTGCAAATAGCATAGATACATGGACTAGCTAAAAAGATTTACATGTGGACCCCTATCATTGATGATCCCTTCTCTCTGATGCGTAGATTGAGTGAGTCTTTATGAGAGACTCTTTGAATGACTTTTTAGAACATGATATATAGGGAAAGTTTTTGAAGGTGAGTCCTTAAGAACAAATAATAAGTCCTTGAGAATAGATAGTGAGTCCTTTTAGCTGAAGCTATTTCTAGCTATTGCTGGCTTAGGATGAGTTTGATCGAAAGAGTTATTGTGGATTCTATATGTGGGTGCTTTTTGTTAATTGATCCAAGATAACCATGGGTGGTGGATGTTTTTGATTGTGAACAGTTTGCTATGTGAAAGAGAATTATCTTAAAAAGGCTTCTTTTTGGATCGAAAACCTATGGGAAAGACCTTTGGATGAGCCCATTGAGTACAATTGCACATTTGGTTTTATCTTCTATGGTGACCCTGTATATTTTGATCTCCATATGGGTGAGTAGCTACTTGCCCACAAGCTGGTGTTAGTGACTCCATTATAGGGTAGAGCTTCCTTAGGGTGAGTGGGATTAAAAGTTAGAGTTCCTTAGACGAGCATCATTCTCATATGTGATTGATGAAGATTCAAAATTTGAAAGAGCATGGTGACAAATAAACAAATTTAGTTGAAGTTTAACATAACAAATTAATCTAGTTAAGGTAAGAGTAAAATTAATTGCATTATTAACATGATTAGGCATAATGATAGCTTAAATCTCTAGGATATTATGGTTGTTCAGTTTAATGTTTAAGGAAATGTCATTTAAAGTAGAGGTGGTGCTTAATATACTATGATACTCAATGATTTTTTAATTACAAGAAGATGGATGGGGAATAATTTTTTGAGTAAAATAACCCATAAAATAAGCGTTGGGCTCAACAATAGTAACCTCATTATTATCAGCCACAAAAGCTAATTCTTACATATCAATTGAAAAATAAAAGTATTAATTTTAAGCAATTTATAGAGTTGTGTGTATTATGTTATTTAAAATCCTATAAAAGACATGGTAGAGGAAAGTTGGAGCAGCAAGGATATTGTGCTCATTAACTTTATTGTGTTGTGAAACTCTAGCAATCAAAGGGGTTGGGGGCAATAGAACCTCAACATTGAATTGGACATAAGGGATGGCTCTATTTGAGTTATTTTATTATTACTTCCACCAGTTTTACTTATGACATTGGATTATTACTAGTTTTGATACATACATCGACACTACTTAATACTATTGATTCAATTTTCTAATACTGAGTACATGATGCATATAATATACTGAGTATGTGATTAAGATACTAATATGATATATGTATATACATATATATGATTTTACAACATTGATATAATTTTCTAATTATTATTATTGATTATATGGTTTTATCACCTTATATAATTCTTTATTGATTGATAATATTGATACGATGACTATTTCATTAATTCATTATTCATATTGAATTATTTTCTTCTCAACTGTACTAGCTTTTGTAGTGCATTATTTCAGCATTTACATACTTTAGTACTACTGTATGTGAGTTTTACTACTTATGTACTGATTCATGATCATATAAATATTACTAATTTGATTTGACTGCAAACATGCATATTACTTCTTTGTTATGCTTTGAGTTCAATTATAGGATTTGGTTACTTGCTGGGCTCTTGAGCTCATTATATTTGGCTAAATAATTTTAGGTAGGGAAAGGGAGCAAGGGTGTAAGAATGACTAGGATCCTTCAAGTTTAGATTCTTGTTATTTTATCTATTCATTTTAACTCAGGATATAATTGCTGTGGTATAATTTAGATCATGAGTTGTGTATATAATTTTTAAAAATTAATACATATTTATATATTAATATTTTAATTGATAGTTTTATTTTTGCTGGTATTTATATTAACAAAAATATTAGGCAGCTCTGGCCATTGTATATTAAATGAAAAAAAAAAAATAGATTTTGGAGCATAATAGAGGATTTCAATATAAATCAATAATAACTTATATCAATTTATAACATCTTTATTAAAATTTAGGAATTTTATCATTAAAGGTTATAAGGAGCCCAAATATGCTGAACATAACTTACCCTAAAATGCGGCATATCAAAATATGGGTCCTCAAACCTATGCCCTAGACTGTAGTGCTTTAAAGAAAAGAAGGTTGGGGTATCCCACCTCGTAGTTCAAAATCCTAAGCTAAGATAACTTAATTTAAAAGGTATTAAGATGGTTGAAGGAGATCAATTCTCAATTCATATGACATAGACTAAGGGTAGCATGTGAGCTCCTTCATTCCAAACAAGGCCCACCATATATGTGTATTACAATGTCTCATTGGTGCATTTCATCAAGCAACTAACATGTGATATCATGAATATCCATAGAACTACTCAATGTGGAAAAACCAAGCTTTACACCCTAACGGAAAGAAAATCTATGCTCATCAACAAGTTTAGTTAATCACATAACCATGTAATCTCCACCCATTTAACTAGGAACTTTAGAATGAGGGAAAGCATGATTAAGCTGCAACCTTCTAAATATACTTGCTAAAACGTAATCATGACAATTTTTTTGAATCAAGTTGTTTAACACAATCCATGTCTAACAATCATAGAAGACGGAAGAGAGAGAGAGAGAGAGAGAGAGGAGGGGAGAAGGAGAAGAAGCAAGAAGAGAAAGGGAATACCTTGTGAATGAAGGAGATCAACGGACAAGGCAGATCGATGGAGGTTAGTCTAGTTTAGGAGTACAAGGGGCGATGGGAGCAAGGTCACCAAAGGGGGTTCGGCCTGGCTGTGGTTGTCGGGATGGGAGCGAGGCTTCAGCCTCAGCTAGGTCACCTGAATAAGAATAAGGGTTGAGGCGTCCAACGTGGGGTTTGAGATGGCTTCAGCTCTTCGTTGGTCATGCCAATAGTGGGAGACGGGGGGTTTCACCCCTTTCTGAGCTTCGCAGGCGAGAAAATGAGAGTGGGAAAGGAGACAGAGGCTTTGGCTTGGGCTCACACGAGAGAGAGAGAGAGAGAGAGAGAGAGAGAGAGAGAGAGAGAGAGAGAGTGGGGAGGGTGCCGGGTCTGGTCTGATCCAAAGGAGAGCGAAAGATCTCGAGATCAGAGGTATCTCTTGACTCGTGGACTAAGAGAACCAAGGGAAGATGGAGGTAGCAGTCTTCAGTGTTGTGCGAACCACTAAGAAGGGAAGCAACGAGAACCGATAGAGCTAGGGCGGGAGGCTTGCTAATGTCGTCATGTGTGGAGGGGATGCCAATCGCCCTAGTCAAAACCATGGATGGGGCTTTTCTTCTCTCAAGTCCAGAGTGCTTTGGCTCCACAGAGCAGAGAAGCACAGGAAGGGGACTGGACATGTTCGATCCCTCTAAAGACCTCTGCCTCCCATCAAAAATTAGTAAATCACACGACTACAACCTTTGGTAATGACAGACTTCGAGCTTCAAGGCAAATCGAGACTGTAGGATCTATTTCCCAATAGAATACTAAATTCAAATGGGTTCAGAAAGTCAATGAAGCCTCAATTGGAATTAGGCTGAACCAATTTGGCTAAAATAAAACACAAATCAAACCTAATTTGACTCAATCCAGGCTAGCTTAGGATCGATTTGACTCGACCAAATTAATTCAATAAAAATCAAACTCAAATGAACGCCAATTCGAATTGAATCAAGCCTAATAAGACCCGATCAGCTCGATCAAATGCGCTCAAGGGTAAAACAAAATAAAAATAAGGTCAACATTGGTCTCTCCTAAAGACTCACCCAATATACTTGTCAAAGAGAATGGATCATCAAAGATAGGGTTCCACATGTATGTCTTTTTAACTAGTTCACATATTTATGTTATTTGCATAGATTACACAACATGGACTATTTTTTCTATTTATTTTATGCTCAATCTTTCATATATCCCTCTTAACTCTATAAACAAGAGGCATCATACTATAGGAATTATTCACAAAGATATTAGAGTTTTCCACTTACATTATATACTAAACACGTTCTCACTTGGTTCTTTAACTATCTTCTACTAAACACCTATTAGTAGGGCTGGGTATCGTCTTTGGAAAAATTTGAATCCAACAATCCTAAAGAAAATTTTTCCACTTTTTATAAAAGCCAAAAAAAATCTTTAAAAAGACAAATAAGTAGCATTATTTAAAAAAAAAAAAAAGACCAAGAAGCATGCACATTGTAACATGAAGCATGATTTATAAATGCAACTAATCATATAGGTCCCAGAACTTGTAACTTAATTTATAAAGAAAAAAACTTACATCAGACTATTGTAATATAATATATATCTAATAAAAAAATAAATAGATAAATATAAGGGATAATAACTCAAAATTAAATCCATTGCAAACACAAAAAATAAAAAATATCATCTATATATGTGTGTGTGTGTGCGCGCGCTTTAATCATTTAATAATCTTTAGAACTGCATCTTTTGACAAATTACATTCAAAATAAGAAGTTTATTTGATATTATAATAACTTTTCTTTTTGATATTTATGTCTATTAAGACAAATTCACACACACATCACATATGCAAGACTCGAACCCAAGACCTCTTAGTTGGTAGCCAAATCCCGATGATGTTTTGTGGGTTTCAAAAATCTAAACATTCATTCTAATATGATTGCGACATTATGTTGACCTGGCCACTAGGATCAATCCAGACCATAGATCAATCTAGACCTTAGGATCAACCTAGATCTTAGATCTATCCAGATCTCAATTCCATTCAAACTTCAATCAAATCCAGACTTACAAACCAACCAGGACTTTAAACCTATCCAGACCTTAATCTCCAGTTCAAACTTATATCCTACCTTTGATCTAGTTCGACCCTATCCTATCACTTATAATCATCCAAATGATCATAAATGATATGGATAATTCAAGTCCAATCATCCAGGCTCAAAACATAATTCAAATCCTGAAATATAGACCAAAATTCAAAGGTAAAAGGCTAAGTCCTAAAAGCCTTTTCCATCGAATTTTTAAACACTTCAAAACCCAGTAAATTGACCTCTGATTCAGAGTTTATCAATTTCATATTGATAGGATATGTCTCTATATTAAACCCTCCAAATTTTAGACCATTTTGAGGTTTCTAACCCCAGAAAATAAATCAAAATCCAAAGGCTGTAAAATCTTCAAATATTTACAACCTATGCCGCTAGACTTGCTACCTAGTAGATCCTGACCTTAGAGCTTTCTCCAAAGCCTCTAATTACTTCCAAACCCTAAATCCTTACCCATTGATCATTAAACTACATTTTGATGGACCCACTTTGACCCCTAGTTGACCAGAGATCAAAATGACTAAAATGTCCCTTAAGGGCAATTTTAAAGTTTTCTCCAGACTTCAATATGCCCTTTTCAAATAAAATCCCAAAACCTCTTCTAATGCATGCTAACCACCATTAGGAGTGCAATGGACTTAAGCCCTGACCCTGATCAAGCTTGGTTGACCAGGTCAACACCTTTTAACCAAAATATCCATTTCAAATCAAACGAACTCCAAATTGCTTGGAACCACTTCCAGCAAGTCTCAAACATCAAACCAAAATTGTTGGACCCAAACCCAGACCCTAGATCAACCTAGTTGACCAAGTCAACCTAGGTTGACCAAATAGGCCCTTAAGGGTCAAAATAGGAATTTTGACTGAATTGACCTCCCAAGACCTAAGGACCATCCTCGTTGGTCTTCAAATGTCATTTCAAATTTATTGAACCCATTTCCAAACCCTGGATCCACCTGGTTGACCAAATCAACCAGTGCTGACCCAATGGCCCATTAAGGGCCCAAATAGGCCCATTTGATCCTAATGACCTATTTAAACCCCAAAAATGCATCCACTATACTCCAAATATCAAGTTAAACATGTCAAGCCTAAACTCACCCACTAGGTCAAAACCTGGTTGACCAAGTCAACCTAGGTTGACCCAAATACCCCTTAAGGCTTTGAATGGGTTTTTTCAACCCATTTAAAATATCAAACTCCCTTTCAAGGCATTTAAAGCAACATTTAAGACACCCTTTACTGCCACCTCAGCAGTCAAGAGGGTTAGTTGACTGGTCAATATAGTAAACAAACCTCTCTAAAGGGCTTTTAAATGGTTAACCCTATTAAATATTGATCCTTTTCTTCATGCACTGAACTTAAAGCATTTCATCAATGCTTGAAGCCACCATGGATGCCACCTCACTCCTTTTGACTGTTTGACCAGTCTAATGGTCAAACAATTGGTTTGGAGGGGTCAAATATGGTCAAAATCCATGTTAAGCTTAATCCCTTCTATCTTAAACCCCTCCAGCAGTATTAAGGCACTCTAAACCTTCACTAGGACCTTCTCTAGCCCTTAGATTGTAAACAAATTGCTCTTAATCATCCCATGCTCAAGTGGGACCAAGAGGCCTTTCCACCTAGGATGTCCTTCCCTTGTCCTTGGCCCCTGCTCCTAACGACCCCAGGGACACATGGCAGCATCCTAGAGCCCATCCAAATGGATCCCAGCACTCCATTCAAATAATGGAGGATTGAATAGGGCAAAACCCTCACAAGAGCCATCATTCTCCCCTTAGCACACTCTCACTCAATCCCTCTCCTCCAGAGCTATTCCAGCCCCCAAAAACTTCTCCAAACATTTCCCTAGTTCTTCAATGCCTTCCCCCACCAGTTCCTGGCTTCCAAACACTAATTGGAGAAGCGATATGATCTAGAGACAGAATCAGTGGATTTCAAGAATAACTTTAAATCCAGCAGAATCCATACCATGGAGTCTTCATCAAAGTTGAAGATGACATCTTCAGTTTTTTAACAAGCCCAAGAAGTCAAAAATCCACTAACTAGATTGTAAGTTTTAAGTTTAATTTTAAACTTAAATTTGAAACTGTAGTAAATATACAATGTATGGAGCATCCGAACTCCAAGAATTGTAAGATTAGGCTACCATCAATCTATGTTTCAAATTTCACAAATTTTTTTTGAGTATTTAGGGAGATATGGGCATTTGAAGTTTTATTCAATTTCTGAATTATTGTTTATCAGAAGATCTAGACCGTCCGATCGACGATCAGACGGTTCAGATAAGTTCAATCCACGCGTGTTCAACCTGGGATTCGAACCCAGGTCCCCTGACCTTTCCACACGGTGACGTAGCGACATTATAGCCCTCCACGCAAATCTGGGCCGATCCAATGCCTATTATGAATAGCCGACGTGTTTAAATGATCTGCTCCCTACTTGACACGTGTCCCAGACACGGCGATGCGGTGCCGCATTTCCAATCATTACCAATCATTGGATTGGCAGCGCTAGTGGCCCGATTTGACCAGAATTGTTTTAAAAATTATTTAAATGCTCATAAACTTCTGAAATCCATAGAAAATTCATTTTTCATCTAATTTTTGTATTCTATACCTTTATGGATTCAGGGTAAAGAGCTTTATCACATAAAAATAATTTCATTTAGTTTTAATGTATGTTCCAGGATTTATTTAATTAATATTAAATTAGATCATTATTTATTTACACATTTAATTGTCATCCATTTGGATTCAATTTTGGCAGGAGCTAATCACGGGATATTTTCTATGTTCTGTGATTTTTCCTGCCCTAATTGAGTACATGATTGAGCTTTATAGAATTTTCTATCATATGGGTCAAATTTTGACCCAAATAATGGAAAATTCATTTCACCCTATGCATGTAGTTTTAGGCTTTATTCTTATTGTGGTATGCTTGTACATGTCTAAGGGTTAGGTGAACAGAGATTTAAGCCAAATTGAACACTAGTGCCATCTCGGAATAATAATTAAGGATAAGATCTAGTCAACTTAGAAAAATCCTAGGAAATTCCACACACACCCAATAGGGGTGAAACTTGACAACACTAAACTTAGTGGCATTATAAACCTTAGGTTCCAATCTCACCAAATTGGAGGTCATCAGGTGAAAAAATTAAACAAGTCAAAATTAACCCTTTAATTAAGCTTTAAAACATGTAAACATTATAATAAATCAATTTTAAATCCAAAAAAAATACAAACAATACCTCAAACTGACCAGAATTCAATCCTTAATCAATGAAAATAAAATCCCTTTGAGTGGACAACAAATTTAATCTTAATTTAATTTTAATTTAAATTTAATAATTAATTAATTTAATTAATTAAAAACAATTTTAAAGTTAAGAAAACTCCCAAACACTTGGGAATCTCTCCTTAGGTCATTTCTGATCTTACGAATTGATTTCAAGGAGTTGAGAGTTCATTTGGAGCAAAACCATAAAAAGGGACGTTTCATTAAATCATTTAAAAATTCAATAAATTGTCAAACTT